CTGGTGCCGTGGCCGGCCGGCCCGGCAAGGTGGAGGAGCCTCTGGCTGCCTACGATGGGTCCATCAGCCAGCTGGCCTGGCCTTATGCATCCCTCCAGCAGCAGGGAGAGCTGCCGGCACTGGCAGCGGTCTTGCAGGTGGGCAGCTGCCCTCAAGGGCTAGCCCAGGGCTCCCACTTGCTGGTGATTTCCCAGCCATTGTGGGCATGAATAAAGCTCCCTGTCTTCCAGGCTGCCTTGTGGTTCTTTGCCAGCGATTGTTCCTGTCTCGGTGCTGCCTGGGGGATGCTCCTGCCTCCTGCCCACCCCGGTGGTGGTGGGGCACAGGTACCTGGGTGCTCCCAGCTGGGACCCCCGGGCAGCACCCGCCATGCCACCCTGCCAAGCAGCAAGCCTGGCCGGCTGCGGCTGGGGTCACCCCACCGCTGCGGGCAAGTGGTGTTTATCCCTGCTGGCCGTGGGTACGGGCAGCCCCCTGGAAAATATTTACATGCAAGGAAGAGCCGGGGGTGTCAGAGCTGTGGCGCAGGCTCCTGAAATCCCCTTTGAGCATTTATTTTGGAGGGATTTTCCCCACTTCTGGTTTTCCAGCAGGGTGGGACCGCATGGGGGGGGCTGCACACCACCACGGGACACCAGCCTGGTGGCAGCTTTGTGGGAGGAGAGTGGTCCTGTGACCCGGCCCCGGGGCATTTGGGGCCGCCAGCTCCCAGGGATGGAGGATGGGCATTCCCAGCATGTTGGCGCTGAGTCATGCAGCCGTCCCCGGGGACCTGAGCTGGCTGCTCAGCCCCGGGGACTGAACGATGCAGGCAAGTGCCTGGCTTGGCACAGCTGAGTCCTGACCCACACCCAGATGGAGACCCTCCACCTCCCTGGGGACCTGTCTGGGGGAAGAAGGGTTCCCCACATCCAACCTGAACACCCCTGGGCTGTGATCCGGGGCTGGGGGCCCTCATTGCATCGCCTGTTGCTGCCAAGAAGGGTTTGGCCTCATCCATCCCCTCCATCCCTGCCTATGCTGCGACTGGGGGCTGCGGGCCCTCATTCGCCTGTTGCTGCCAAGAAGGGTTTGGCCTCATCCATCCCCTCCATCCCTGCCTATGCTGCGACTGGGGGCTGCTTTCAGACACCCCTACATCCCCACGGCCAGACCCAACAAGCCCAGCTACCTCCCACCTCCTCGTGGGTTGGGTGCTCTAATCCCCAGCCCACTGGGTAGCCACTGTGGGGTCACGGCAGGATCCCTGCGTCCCCCTCGTGCAGCCCAGGATGCCACCATCACGGGGCCCTTCCAGCACGGCTGCCTGGCTGGTGGCTCCTGTCTGGCCTGATGCCTTGGTTGATGCTGACGCTGCCCTGCCTGCATGGTGCCACTGGTCCTTGAGGAGCTCTCAAGCAAGGAGGAGGACAAACCCCGACGACTAAGGGATGCGCTGTCACCACAAGCGTGTCAGGCCAACAGGAAGGAGGGGACAGCAGGGGATGTCCACCACTTCCTCGGGCTGTCCCAGCCTAGGGGGAGGGGCCAGGCCACTGGCATCTCCCTGGGGAGCTGCTGCTCTACTGGGACCCCTCCATCAGCTCCAGCATGCTGCTGTAGAGGCGCCCGGGGGCATCCAAGCCCCAGATGAAGTCCCAGTGGTTCCAGTCGGGGATGTGGCCATAGGTGACGAGATGGGCGATGCGGGGCAGCAGCAGGCGGACATCCCTCCAGTCAGCTGCCCAGTCCTCCCCCCCTGACCACACCGCAGTGGGCACGGGCATCTCCTCCACCTGGTAGGAGGGAGGTGTCTCCTGGAGGGACACAGGGGGCTCTGAGGAACTGCCGTCCTGGTCAACCCCTGCAAGCCAGCCTGTCCCAGCACCACCCAGGACAGTCCCCTGGCATCTCCAGCCACCAGCACTGCTGCTGCAGCCTCCTACCTGGTGGTACATGGCTGGGTTTTCGCTGCCATAGTCGAAGGCTTTGAATTCTCCCGATTTCATCACCTGGGAGGAGAGGATAGATCTGCGGTGGGGGGCCAGTGAGCACCGCTGCGTGGGTCTGGCATCTCCTGGCCTCCTTGAGGGACCACATCACGAGAGGGTGCTCGCATGGGTCATTGCAGGAGGAGGTGGCATCCCTGCAAAGCCAGAGTTTCCACCTTTTTTAACAGGGTGATGCTGTTAGCGATGGGTTGACAAACCAAGGTGTTGCATGTGACTCCTTGGCTGCCCCAGTGCAATGCTCATGCCTCTGAAAACCTGCTCATCACCAGCTGTGTGTGCAAGATGCTGCTGGAGGACTTCACGTTGGCGAGTTTTCCTTCAACAACCTGATCATCCTTAGCTTCTCATGACACTTCGGGCTCAGAGTACAGCGACATCAATGAGCCCAGTTATTATAAGAGTTGCATCTATGCTAAGGGCGAAAGCTCAGATACCTGCGCAATAGTTGCATTGATTAAAAAGACCTTTTTCGCCTTCCCTGTCACCTATAATTTGGCTCTGCAAGGAGGCACCAGGGTGGGGGTCTCCAGCCTGACCCCATTTCCAGCAGGGCCAACACCGCAGCTGCAGCAGGTTGCTCAGACTGGCAGAGTCTGGCCCCAGTGTCTCCGGGACCCCTTTGGGCAGGAAGAGATGCCATTGGATCCCCCTTTGCCTCCTTGTCCCCGGCTGAGCAAACCCAGCTCCCCCAGCCTCTCCTTGTATGCCCTGGCTTCCACCCACCATCACCATGGTGTCCCTGGGCTTGCTCTGCTTTGGGGATCCCTGGGGGGCCCTAAACTTGTCCCAGCATCCAGCTGTGGCCTCCCCATCCCTTCCCTTGTCCTACCTGGCACAGCCCAAGGCGCACAGCCCAGTGTCCCCTGGTCCCCAGAGGGGCCAGGGCAGCTCATCTTGCATCCAGCGCCTCTTCTGTATGCCTAATTTCTTGCCTTTACTTTCTCACAAGCTGCTAATGTCCAAGATCCCCGACCTCTCACGTCTGCCCTGGACACACCAGACTCTCAGTGAAGGGACCATCCCAGGGGTGAAGCATCTGCATTTCAGGGAACCTACCTGGGCCCAGTGTATCATGTTTTTGACAGATGTCCCATCCGGATAGTGGGATGTGTACACATCCAGCCGTGTCTGCAAGGAAACATATTCAAGCTTTCATTGCTTTCCAACGGATAGGAGTGAGGATGGCAGTTGCCAGATGATGCATTTCCCAAAACAGCCACTGCTGAGTCACGCTGCCTAGAGAGTTGGGTCATGTTCAGGAATATCATTTTCATTAAAAACCAATTGTTCTGAGGCAGCTCCGGGAGGATAATGGTGATGAAGGATGAGGTACCCCTAGCTCCTAGAGATACCTCATCTGGGCTCAGGGACTGTGCTCAAGACCTTAGTGACTACTTGTGGTCACCCAAATGCTGCTTCAGCAGACTTAATGTAGGGTGGATAGGAGCAGGGGCTGCACCCCAGGGGTGCTGGTGGCACGTACAGCTGGTCTCTGTGACAGGCAGCCCTAACTCAGAGATGCTGTCAAGTGCTACCTGGCCACTGACATTCACCCAGCAGAGCCCAGGGACTTTCCTATCCGGGGAGGAGAAGCAGCGAGAGAGGGATCTGGCAGAGGGACACGCATTGCCCTTGCAGCATCTGCTTGCCCATGAGCGCTGGGGGCTAGCGGCCGTAGCAGGCTGGGCAGGGTGTTTGGCAGGGAGGGGGCAGGCAGCAGGCAAGGGGGTCGGCAGAGCCAGTGGGCACTGCTGCGTGCTCCCAAGCAGTGCACCCCAGGGCTCCGGCTCCCTCACCCCCACACGGGGCAGCGCACTCACCATGTTGAGGTTCTTCTCGTTGTAGCCCCCCAGCAGAAAGAAGAGGTTAGCACAGGGCTTGTGCAGCAGTGGATGCCTGCACAGCTGGGGGAGAAACCTCCACAGCTTCCTCATCCGCAGCGAGGCATCTGTTCTGCCGAGCAGAAGCTGCAGAAGCAAAGGACAAGGTTGATTTCTTGCATTTCCCTTCCTGCAGCCTAGCCCTTGGACCGCTTCCCCCAACCCACTGCTGGCTGGTGTCCCCATGAGCTGTCCCACCAGCTGGGCAGTGAGGGGATGTGCAGCACAGGGTGCCCACAGGAGTCAAACCCACTTCTCCTTTGCCCTCCTGCCTCACTGAGATGTGTGCAGCTCATTGCAGGAGGCAATGCTGATTGAATGCACAGCCAGAAAATCAATATTTGGGACTCTCCTCTTTCCCCTCACCTCCCCCAAGCATTGGATTAGTTTTTCACTGTCATTAAAATCAACACAGTAAAGCTGCTCTTTTCCAGACGATCTGTCTGGGAATTCAACAAATGCCCCCATAGAAAGACCAGTTTCAACACCTGAAGATCCTACAGATGCAAGGAAGGCATGCACTCAACAAAGTGACCATGCAGGAGTGCACCTGCACCTGAATCGTGTCTGTGCTTATAAATCAGCAGAAATTAACTGTTTTCTGCTGCATTGGATAGCCCTGGGGACTGCATCTGGGCACGATCCCTTTTCTAACACTGGTGTGTTTGGGGAAGGAGAGCATGGAGTAATCCCCTACCTGAAACATCTTGAATTGCCTGTCCAGAAGGAAGGACATTTTCATGACGGGACTTTTGGCGTGCTTGATTGTCACTGCTGGAGCCAGGGCAAAAAACATTTTGATTTTCTGAGCCAGTTCTGGCATGGATGAAAACGCAATGAATGCTGAGAAAACAGAAAAACAACCTGAGACTTGGTCGATCTTTCTTCAGGTGCTTAATCTGAGGGTTCACTTGGACCCGCTGCCCAGGTCTGTTTAGCTGGCATTATCTGCAATTAGAAATCTGGGGTCTCTTGCCACCTTTCTGCTTAACATTAGTGCTAGAGATGTCCAAAAGGAGACAACACCTTTATTCCTATAGTCAGAAGTGGCTGATGAGGCACTTCAATGACTACCACTGATGGGAAGTCCTGCCCCATTCACCAGGTGAAGGGAACAGTACTGTCATCTTCCATCAACCACTGCTAAAGGGTATCATCGTCACAGAGGTTATCTCATACCCTTGATGGTCCAGCTGGTGAAAAGAAGCACCATGCATTTCGTCAGAAACCAGAAGCTGTGCCCTCCATGCAAAACACCTTTGGTTTTGATGTAGAACACTGCAATTCGGTTTTCTAGGTTGAATTATAGTTGCAGCAAGGAGCTTACTGAGGTCACCAGGAGCTTTCTTACTACCTTAGGAGCATGCTGGTCCTCCCAGATGTCTTGTATGAAAAGCATGGCTGCTGTGGGACTTCTCACTGCAAGAGACCTTCTACCTAGTCTGCCTGCTCGGCAGCCCACAAAGATGGGACCTCTCTGCTTTCTGCTTACAAACACCAAAATGAACATTTTCAAGGTGGTCCAGGGAATGTGATGTGCAACCCCTTCTAACGCACCGATCGTGCAGCCCTGGGAGTAGCCAACATAATAGATCTGCTTCTGCCCAGTCTTCTGCAGAACAAAGTCGATCATGGCTGGGAGGTCGTACATTGCCATTTCATGAAAGCTGCAACACAGGAGTGTATTGGTTATAAGGTAACACCAGGAGAGCAAACTTACCTGTGAATTTTGGCTGCCTTGCATTGCTCGTATACTGAAGGGCTTAACATCTGTGGCTGATTTTCCAGGAGAAAATTCCTACAAGCTAGGAAAGACCTGTGCTGGATGAAACTGCACAGGGTCCAAAGGCATCCTTCCTGCTGTGGCCTCATCCTTCCCTGAAGGGGCTTAGTCGTCCCATAACCATGGTTAGCGGTAAAGAAACTGTGCAGAGCCTGGCCAGCTGTGCATTCAGGTGCAATACGCAGTAGCTCTGCAGACCCAGAGCTGGCTCTTGTCAGGATTACAGCACCAGCTCTGCTCCTAGGGTTGCTCTTTCCCAGAAAGGAATGGAGCACCAGTTCCTGTCCATGTTCCTTTTAGTGTGATATGGTGAAACACAGACCTACTTTATTAGGTTTTTCTTACTGGAAGCATGTTTATGAGCTTGGGAAATCCAGGATTGCTCTGAAGATCAGCTCTGGAGAGGCAGTTAGCAGCTTAAAATGCTGTTCTTGGGGACAAGGTTTCTGTAGACAATGTCTAGGAGAAGGGGAGGTGGCAACGACACTTGTGGACACCTTGCTGGAGTGCTTGGCCGGGGAGGTCCCCGCAGAGGCCCCAAGATAGGGCTGATGTCTCCACAGGATGGGCATCCCCACGCAGGCAGCAGTGCCCTGTGCTCTCGGCAGGGCTGGGCAGCTGCAGGGAGGTGTTGGCACCATGTCAGCAGACAGGTCTGCACAGGTGTGCTCCATTCTCCCTGAGCACATCACTGGGAGGTCTGGGGGAGGCAATACCCAGGGATTACATGCTCTGACTTGCCTGCTTGGAGGCACCCACCTCTACCTAGAGGTTAGTGACATGCATAGAAGTTTGCTGTGCTTTTGTAATCCACTCTAGCCCACCTGAAATTCCAGAATTCAACCTGGTCAGCTGAAAGGTGCTGGTGTCTCCGGGACCAGCTTGTCCCCCGGCTGTTTCCCAGCCAGATATCATAGCCGGAGTCTGCTAGTATGAAGCCAAGGCTGTTGTTAGCCAGATTTTCTACCCAGTGGCTGCCTTCTCCGAGTAACCCGTGCTGGAGAAACACAACTGGCTTGGCCCCTGGATGTGAAAGAAACAGTGCATTTCATTAAACCAGAATTTCTCTACTTACTCACCCCAAATTCAGGCCAATGAAGCCTCTTTCTTGCACTGCCAGAGGACATACAGTGTGCATTTTAATGACGTCTCCTGGTGAAGAAATCCTTGCCATAGTTGTCTCATGGTGGTTGCCCTCGTTGTCTCAGGCTGGAGAACTGTGGATATCCCTCCTAAGCCTTTCAGACCCCAGGTGCTCATCCCCACAAGCTCAGTACCGTGGCCACTGACAACAACCATGTGAAAACTCAGATGTACAGGCTCATCCCTGAGATCGTTCAAACCCCCAAGTCACAAATGTATGGGGAAAAAATTAAATGAGGAGCTCTCTTAAGATATGCCTGCATCCTCTGAGCCTTAAAACCAAGTCTCTGCTTGATATGAAAGGTCGTTGCTGTGCTGCATCCACACTTTCCTATGCTGGCTGCTAAAGCCTTGACTGTAAATTGGAGAAGTACTGTGGGTATGGTATTTTTGCTTTAACAATAAATACTCCTTTGGCCTGGTAAGGTTCATCCCTTCACCTGCTTGTTATGTTAAGGTTTTTTTTTTTGCTGGCTTCCTTGTGAAATAGAGCCATACCTCTGTTCCCAGGATTTTCTCTCCCGTGAGGAATTCTGTTCAGGCTGACATAGTAGCCATCACGAGTCAGGACTTCATACTCCTCACTGGGGTACCCTCTGTGGCAGATCATTTGGCTCTGGGGAAAGAAAAACCCAGGTGGACAGCTTTCCATAGCTGAGGTGCTCATTTGACTTGAAGAGCATATCCCTCATCTGCTGAGATGCCTTTGCAAAACCGAAACACTGTGGCAGCTGGGACATTGCTTTGCCCAGGGTGTCTCTGGATCAGCTGAGGACTTTTTTGAGAGAGGATGCTCTGTCTGAATCCCATGCCCACCCCAGTGAGATGCTCAAGGGAAGAGGAGATGCTCAGCTGTGGGCTTGCACCTGTGAGCAGGAAGGGAGTCGGCAGCATCAGGGCTCCCCTGCAGCATGCAGCAGCACATGCGTTTGAAATGTTTCCAAAACCAAAGATTGAAACCAAAAGGATTTACTGACAGCTGACAGCGGCGGCAGGACATGTCATGTCACGCTCTGAGCTGATGCGTGGGGCAGATAAGATGGCAGGGCATATCGAACCTGCTGAGCTGGGTTGACTGGAAGGGCAATAAGACAAGCCCCGTAGGATTTGTCGCAGGGCTCCTGAGGCTCTGCCTGAGCTTTATTTATGCTGAAAACTCCACAGATTGGGAAGTTTCAGACTGGTGAAATCCAGCTGTGACCCTGCCTACACATTGCTGTATGCTCGCTTTCTCACACGGTTGGTGGAAGAGATTAATTTCAGCAATTTTATTGCCCACGTCTTGGGTCCATCTAAACTCACCTTCAGAGACTTTAAGGACTCACCTGGACACGGCCCTGAGCAACTTGCAGCAGCTGAAGGAGAGGAGCCGTGCACAACTTTCTACCCTCCAGGAAGATGTCTGATCAAATCCAGGCTGGGATTACCCCTTCTCTAACTGACCAGCTGATAATTGCACTTAATACTGCTGGGAGGAAGAGGACTCCTTCAGGAAGCAGGGCTTGTTAATGATGGTATGGAGGCAACATCATATTGCACTGCTCAACAAAACCAGTAAACACCGTGACCCGAGCCCTCTCCACATACATACCCTTCATCCCTCTCTACTCCAGCTAACATCCACAAACTTTCAGACAGAGTGGAAATTCAAAGTTCTCCTGACTTACAACATTCATGAAAGTCTCGGGATTTATAGCCTTTTTCTGCTCGATGACATCTTCTGGGTTCGCAGGTGCTTGTATCAAAAACAGGATTGCAATCAACAGCCACATCATGTGTCTGCGTAAAATATTATTATTATTAAACATTGTTATGAATGTCTGTTTCTACTTGGTTATGATGGGTTAAGTTCCTTATATATCTGAAGAGCATATATCATGGTCTGGGCTGGGGAAGCGGCGGGGATTCCCTATTCCAGCTTCAATTACAGTCCACACAAGGCTCTTCATACTCCTCCGTACAGACTGGATCTGATACTAGGCATGACCCATTTTTATATTTTTAATGGTAAAAAGAAGAGAAACAGCTTTATAATGCAAGAATTGAAGCGATAGAAAATACCATCGGGCCAATTGTCACGCAGAGGGAATTAATCCGAAGTAAGAGTTTATGCTACGGAAGGAACACATTTAAGTTGGCTGGGCTATGACTATGTCTATATTTTTGCTGTTTCTCTATTGCTTAGCTTTTGCACCCAGAAGCCACTATTAACAGAATGATCCTATGAACTGAAACTGGTAGAGCCTCATAGGAAGACTATTTATTAAATAAGCGTAGCCTGAAAAAACCAGAAACCTTTTTGATCGCCTTAGAGACTTCTGTCCCAAGCAGAGATCTATTTTTAATACACACAGTTAATATTATGTATGATTTCTAACGCTTTGGCAAGCTTTTAAAAGTTAGAGCTTAACTTCAACCCAGTAGCATGAGTTGCAAATCTTCTCACCAATCATCTGGTTACTCTCTACCTCCCTTCTTCCTCCTCCCAATTGGTCTCCCACACCGTGAGAAATATTTGCCCTCTGCAATATTCCCAGTAACCCTCTCTATGGTATTACCAAGAGGCAAGTTACCAAGAAAAAAAGCAACCGGTGCTTTTTCAGCCTCGGGATAGATCCAATGCAAATCTGAATTACGCGGAGGAAAATACGTTACCAAGCAGAGCCCACTGTCGTATCTGATCAGGCTGGTGGTGTGAATGGTGGTGGCTCTATCATCACCAGTGTTAAAAAGAGCATGTTGTGTCAGAACCCTGCTACGTTGGCACCACGGTGGACCACATCACGTGTCCTCCAATTAAGCGATGTGCGTGGTGGTCATATCTTTGATAACTTCCTCTGCTTGGCCATGTGGTCATGATTTTCGTGCTTGCAAAGGATTACATTTCCAAAAGCAGCCGGAGTGGTGCAGCAAGGAATTTCAGCTATGGAGTTGCACCTTAAGCTCGTGATAGCCACAGTAAAAAAATGTCAGAAGGTTTTCTTTGTAAAGGGTCATTTTCTAACTCCCAGGGGGCCTTGGAAATGCCTCTTAGAAGAGCTCCTGGGGCAACAAAAGGACTTGGGCTCCACCAGCTTCACAAGGCCTCAGGAGCATGCCAACCTCTCCATAGACATGCCAAGGACAGGTCAGGCTTCACCAGCTGCCTGGGTGGGAGACACTTGGTGAAAGTGTCACTCTTCAAAAGTGACAGTGGCCCAGGCAACCTCCACATAACCCTTAGGCCCAAGCGGTATTGTATTTGCAACTGGCAGTTTGCAAAATCTCTGCAATGTTTTCTGGAAAAGCACCAAGCTTAGTGTCTTGCCGATGGATGGCAGAGCAGAGGAGAGCTTGTGCAATGCCTCCATTTGGCTGAAATGACAGGTATTGCACAGAGTGAAGGTATTCGTTCTCCACCTCCAGCCCGTGACCTTACAACCTATGCCTTTCTGTAGCTGCTTGGTAGCCACCTAAAAGACCAAGTCGTTGGTTGGCTACCAGGTGCTCTGCTTGAATACATATTTCCTGGTCATGGATTAGGTTGACTTCTAATGTTCATACCAGCCATAGTCTATGAGCAGTATGCGAGTTGTGAAATGCAGCCCAAAACACGCATTTGTTACTCCATCCACCAGACTGTAATTTTCTATCACTGCCGCAACCGCTGACACAAAGGGACTGTGTGTGTGCACACTATCTTCCCGACAGTGGGTGTGGCCAGAGCCTTCACTGTTTCATTACCTTACTTCTGTCCCTGTGGCTACTTTGGGCTTTTGAAAATGTCTTCCCACTCCCGTGAGCGCAAAAATCCCACTACATAAGGTGGACTTTACAGGTTGTGTAGAGGGCAGTTCCAGTGTGCGTCCCAAGAGGAGTTAAAAAACACCCTATGGATGGAGAAACCCCTACCCAGCTTGTGTTTTTCTACTCTACCATCAGGTTTCCTTCAACAGCATCAAGACAGACCTCACGTTTTACTTGTACGGTCGGCTACTTTATCCACTGTCAAGTCTGCTGCCTTCTACCTCTACTGGGTACTAGTTGTCTAGCAGAGGTACTAAATACTAGTACTAGGTACTAACAGAGGTTAGAAAGACAGCAGAGACTTCGCTAGCATCCTCAGGCCATGGGACAAGGCTATCGGAGCAGTGTATCAGCGCTCAGACTAGTGTGTGATTTAGCACCAGTACCTATCATAACTGTGGTAGGAAGGAGAGAAGTTGCCAACAAAGACCAGCTAGCTTTTTACCGGGAAACTCTTGTGTAGCTTAGTCAAAGGAAGAAGTGAAGACCTTTGTGTTATTTGAAGTTAGGAGACCAGAGTTGGGCGGTTTGACACATAGGTGCAAGTTTAGGTGGAAAGAGCAATACCATCACGATACTGCTGTGATTGTACACTTAACAGAATTGTAAATAGTCACTAGTATTAACCTACGGTGTCAGGACCCCATAATACATGGTAGGATACACAACCAAATATTAGATAAACTATCATGGGCATCTTAAAATAAAGCTGTATAACCACACTCATGGGACATTTTTACGGTATCATTGTGGGAACTAATGTAAGAAAACTCAAGACCGTTTAGAGACAGAAAGGTATTTTATTTAACTTTCTAACCAGGTAGACTGTACCAATCAGCACTCTCATACACACATTCTCAGAGGGGCCAAAATGTGTGTATCCAAGTGGTCTGGCCAAGGTCACCTGAGTGTGACATGGAAGGCAAGGGTTGCCAGCTACTGGGTCTTCCATATGCCTTCTGTGTTCTGCTTGAGGCCCAAAAGCCAACTCTTTCTTGACCTCTAAGGTCCTTTAGGAGTTAAATGTTACTATGGCGTGATGTTTTGCTTCTGCATCTTGTTAACTTCATGCTTCATAAATATTAGGCAACGTTGCTGCTGGGTGTCTTTCATTTTCTTGTTTGAGGTATCATAGGACTGTAACCCATCCTGCTGTTGGGATAACAGGAAGAAAAACAGCCCATGAAATGTGCTGTATCCCCACTGCTGTCCTTCTGTTAAGAGGTGCAGCTCTTCTGCTGATGAGTCACCCTCTCTGTGGTGCATCACGGTGCAAGCAACAGATTCCTCAGCACTTACCAGTTTGATTGGTGTTAATCATGTCCTTGGCTATCAATGCATACCATTCCTCTAACTCCTGCTCTGGTGTTTCTCCTGGTGCTTTCACCCATGTACAAGCTGCCAGACTGTATGCCCAGGATGCTGGTTGTTACCTTCTATCTGTTGCCTCTTGCCAAGCACAGGGAGATGCTTAACTAGCTGTCATCTGGTCTTGGCATCCTGAACTGAGAAAGAGAGTATCATTCTGATTTTAGCAATAAGAGAACATCAACTCTTGTGTAATTCCTGCCAGATAAGCATGATTCCATTGCAGTAACCTTGGAGAACCTTGCTCAAGTGAAGAACCTGATAAGAAAAGCAGTGCTTATCTGGTTGTACCTCTCCTAGTTTAAAGCCCCTCAGCTAGGCTGGGATACCTCCAGCGTCTCTGATTACACATTTAGTAGGGGTTTTACTCATGCTAGGGTTGCACAGTGAAGCTTGATGAAACAACGAATTCTTTTCACAACACCTTGCTAGAATTGTTCATGCAATTGTTTTATTCACAGTAGTGAAACTGAATCAACAAAAGCATAAATGTTCCTAAATGTTGATTGTGAAATAACTGAGATGTGGTCACCAGTGGTTTGTCTCAGCTAATTCTTCCACCCTTTCTTTGTTTGGAAGACCCCAGAACAACCCTGAACTTCTTGTACTTCTCTGATCTCTCTTCATTGTACAGTTGGCTTTAAAGAGTATTTTAAAGCTAAAAGAGTTTGGTTTGTTCATGAACAGACCTGGGCCAACTTCAGCAAACTTTCTCAGTAAAGAAATACTAACATTTTTCAAATTTGGTATCATAGTGCTCTTGGGCTTTTTTCCAATGTATTGGAGAAAAGCTGATTGGGCTCATCTTAGCCAATGCCCTGGTCAGGGCTATCAGAGACCTTCAAGGAGCAGTAACACGTCCCACGTGACATAGTCCAGAGTCAGGAATGGAGACGAACACAGGCTTGTGAAAAGTGCTGGAGGTAGTTATATCTGATCATGATTTTGGCTAACCATAACTTTCCATGGCCTTATACCATTCCCATCTGCCTAATGTACCAATATACAAAAATACAAGGCTCAAAGACCAGTTACCGGGTCTCTCTTCCAAGCGTTCATCTAGCAATCTCAAAAGAAAATTTGGAAATAACATCGGAAATAACACAGAAATTGCTCATAGTTCCTGAAATAAGAAAGTGACATGTCCTCAACTAAATAAAACTCTGAATCTACTCAGCAACGTCGGTGACTGCTGGAAACTGTTGTCAGGCTTGCTGTTAAGGATCAAAAAACCATGAAAAGGCAATACACCATCTGACATCACTTGATGAAACCTTATCCTAGATTAACCCTGTTACAGATCAGTTTCTAAATAACAGCTTAGGCCAGTACATTGCTTAAAGCAGACACCAAAGCAATCCTAGGGTTACTTGCAAAAGTGCAACTTCACTTTAAGCATGTGCCTGCGCATAATCCTGAGGCGGGAAGGATGCTGTAGTAGACGTGCTCACCCCCTCTCCAGTGTGGACACAGCCTGGAGCTGACCATATGCTCCACAGTTCATGTGTGTGCTGCCTTTTTTTGCATTGACCATGATGATGATAGAAAATTATAGGTCAGCAAACATGGTGCAACTACTGTATTTTGAATGGGATGTGACACGGTTTTAAGCCCGTCTGGCTTTGTATGCCATACGCAAGCA